AATCCCACTTTACTTACTTTACAGAGTATCATTTGCATTATTATTAATAACATTCCTACGTGACTTACATTGCAGGGTATCATTTGCATTATTATTAATAACAATCCCACTTTACTTACTTTGCAGAGTATCATTTGCATTATTATTAATAACATTCCTACGTTACTTACTTTGCAGAGTATAATTTGCATTATTATTAATAAAAATCCCACGTTACTTACATTGCAGAGTATCATCTGCATTATTATTAATAAAAATCCCACTTTACTTACTTTACAGAGTATCATTTGCATTATTATTAATAACATTCCTACGTGACTTACATTGCAGGGTATCATTTGCATTATTATTAACAACAATCCCACTTTACTTACTTTGCAGAGTATTATTTGCATTATTATTAATAACATTCCTACGTTACTTACTTTGCAGAGTATAATTTGCATTATTATTAATAACAATCCCACTTTACTTACTTTGCAGAGTATTATTTCTATTATTATTAATAACAATCCCACGTTACTTACATTGCAGAGTATCATCTGCATTATTATTATTAATAATCCCACGTTACTTACATTGCAGAGTATCATTTGCATTATTATTAATAAAAATCCCACTTTACTTACTTTACAGAGTATCATTTGCATTATTATTAACATTCCTACGTTACTTGCTTTGCAGAGTATTATTTGCATTATTATTAATAAAAATCCCACTTTACTTACTTTGCAGAGTATCATCTGCATTATTATTAATAAAAATCCCACTTTACTTACTTTGCAGAGTATCATCTGCATTATTATTATTATTAACAATCCCACGTCGCTTACTTGTGCAGAGTATCTACCGGACGGTCACCTTGGTCTCGAGCCACGTGTACAAGCGAGCTGCCCAAGAGATGACCGACGTGAACACCTCGAGAACGATTCAAGTGGTGGCACCGGGCGACGTGAACTTCGCCCTGGGCACGACGAATTCCAGCAACGACACCACCGTCGTCATACAAAACGCCAGCGCGTCCACCGATCCCGAAACGATCTGCATGAGCCTGCCAGGTTTCGTCGGCGGCCTCGTGATGCTGCTCCTCGTTGTGGTCGTCGCGTCCCTCGTCGCCGCGTTCCTGTTCGTTAGGGTGCGCGCCGTCGACCGGAAGAACATCGTGGCCGGAAGCGGCTTCGTTCATCCGGCGTACGCGGCGGAGAACTGCAGCGTGCCGAACCCGGAATTCGTGAAGGTGGCCAACTGAGACGTCGCGACGATGACGAACGAGAGAGGACGATTTTTTTTCCCCTCGGTTGGCTGGAATATATATATATATATATATGTTCGTTTAATTTCAACGGCCGAGTTGCCTCGGACATTCTCTCCGTTCTTTCGGTATTTCCTCCCTCTCACAACATCCACCACAACTGGAATTCAGCTTCTCTACCCACTTCAGCTCCTCTCTTCTCCTTAGTCGAATCTTATTGTTGATCGATCGAACGCGCGGTTCCTTCGGTCGAGCTCGCTTGAACGAAAGAACAGACGGAATGCTCGGGCGTATCGTGTAAATAAGCGCGCTAGAAACGCGTGAAAGGTGTGAAGGAGGATGAATCAAAGAATGTTGTAGAGTGACGCGTGTAGGAGGACGTTTCACCTGCCGCGATCGTCACGATCGCTGCCATCAATTTCTCTCCACATCCATACCTTCCTCTTCCGTCTACAAACTCCGTGGAAACTAGCTTCGAGAGCTATTTGCAGAAGATGGAACGCCACCATTTGATTTTGATAATTCTTTTTCTGATCACTCGTCCAGGTTGTTTATTAACCTGAATGAGGATCACAGTCGAGGAATTGTCGTTTATTGGAAATTTTTTAATAATAATATGTATGTGTTTATATTTATATAAATTATTTAATAATAGTAATATATTATTATTATATATAAATATATATATGTATATATATATACATCTAAATTATTTAATAATTTATAATATTATATTTATAATATTATAATATATTATATTATAGTATTATATATTATAATATTATTATATTTATAATATTTATAATATATAAATTATTAAATAATTTATATATATATTATTAGTATTATACATAAATATACATATATATTTACATCTAATTTATTTAGTAATAATATATATTATTAAATAATTTATATATATATTATTATTATATATAAATATATAATTTACATGTAAATTATTTAATAATAATATATATATTATTATACATAATATATCTATATTAATATTATATTTATATATATATTATTATACATTATATATATATATTTACATGTAAATTATTTAATAATAATATATATATTATTAAATATAATTAACATATATATTATTATTGTACATAAATATATATATATGTGTATATATATATATATATTTACATATAAATTATTTAATAATATTTATATATATTTATATATATAAATTATTCGAAAGTAAATAATTCTCGTGACACTATAGTACGTATTCGTCATTTTTCACAGAAGTTTTCTAGATTTACAATGATGTATCTTCGTAGGTTCGAACAACTTCTCGTCAGACATTATGAAATTTTTTTATATTTAGTCTAAATTTTATATATATAAGTTTATTATTTTATATTTAGCTGAATCTAAAGCAATCTTCATATTTAGTTCAATCCTGTTTAATTAAATTTAATTTGTTTCAATTTGACAAAAAAACGAGCTTCAATTAGAAATCGACGATATACTAAAAAAATCATCGAAACTCAGAAAATGGCCTCGTTTCTGTGAATATTTACTTACGCTTTTCTTCTCAACAAACGTTATACAATACAATGTAATAAATTTAACGAGATGTCAGAAAGTCGGCTCCATTGTCTGTAAATATCTGCTTACATGCCCACGTAAAAAATTCCTACTGCAAACCATAAAAGGAAAGAATTATCATCACATCAAAGTGGCTGACAAAGTGAAACGTTCTTCAACGCGAACTATTTTTTACGCCGGACTTCGTGGCACGTCATGATCGCGGTAGAATTAAAGAGAGAAAGAAGAACAAAACAGAAGAAGAAGAAGAAGAAGAAAAAGGAGGAAACAAAAAAAGAAAGAAGTTAAGAGAGGTAGCTTAATCGCGGTGAGAGATAAGTCGCGGCGTGCTATGGAGGGTTATGGTTCGTCGACGATCGCCAGAAACAGTCACGGAGGGCATTGTAAATAAGTCGGAAGTAGTCAGACGGCCCTGCGCGACGCGCGGATTTCATTCGAATTCCGCTTCCTCGGTCACAAACTATGTGTACACTCGGTTATTTATATGTTTGTATACTTGGAGCGAGTATCTTCCTTTTTTTCCAACCTTCGTCGTACCATCGGGAGCTGAGAAGATGGCAGTCGGCTGTGATTGGTTTTAGTTTGCTTTGATCAACAGAGTTTAGGCTAAAGAAACGAACGTTCGTTCGCCTTCTATCTCGTGATTATTTATTATATCAATCATTTAATCAATGAACACAATTATACGAGCAAGGGATGTACAAATTTGACGAGGAGAAAGCTTGATTTAAATGATCACGTCGCCATTGAAACTTTGTATAAATAGTGTAGAATTACAAATTGGTTTTCTAATGGCAAATTATATTTAAGGTGTACCTGCCTTTCTAGAAGAAAATTTCAACAACTTGTCAATAGAAATTATTTAGAAACTTATTTAATTAAAACTGTAAAAACTTGTTCAATTAATTTTCAATTGGCGAAATATCTTTTTATTGTTCCATCATATTATTACATAATTTTCTACCTTGACATTTGACGTGTCGATTTTTGAGTATTAGAAGAATTAATTTGTCAGCGCGTTCTGCGCTTTTTTTTTTTCTTCGCGTCTAAATTACAAATTCACATGAAACAAGCAGTGCATGAAATTTTGTCAAATTCACTCGTTTGAATTAGCAACGATTAGAACGGATGAACTTCTTTCCCCAGTTACTATACATTTGTTCCCTGGGACTTATAAATGGAACTTTATTGCACTTTATTTATTGAATTCGTGTTTGACTTTGAAAACTCTTTAAAAACTGCTGAATACTAATTAATTCAGTTTCAAATTACTCTTAATTACTCATCACATTATAGTGAACTGAAATTGCCCGACTGGCGACTTCTCAGCTGCCTGTTATACCTCATTATGTCTCGCGAGCCACGAGTTCTGGCACGAGTTTGCTTTATTTTCGCATGGTCGGAACTCGTGACGATCTGTACGTCTATTTATTTATTATTTTTCTTCTTTTTACGTTATCTCTAACTTATCACGGTCTTCCCCCCCCTCTCCCCCCTTTTTTCGATCGATCTAACCCTAATTTATTTGCGAAAATTGCCCGCGAATTACACTTGTCATGTATACCTTTCTCTCCTCATCTATCGTTCCTTTCTTCATCTTTGGTCTTCCCACTCTTGTTCGCTTAGTACTTAAGAATTTCGAGAGAAAGAATATTCCCCGGATACGCGGGGAATATGTATCAAGTATGTGTCTTAAGCACACGCCCGCACGCACCGAAATATACGTATGTATAGGTATGTAACTTATGTTATGGAGAAAGAATTGGACATGTGACACGCATACATCCGATAGTGAATACGAATTTGTTATTGTGCGTGAGTTGCATTGTATACATACAATGGCGCGAGGAATGTATACACGAAGATTGATTATTTCATAATTATTTTAATTACATAATCATTTTTATTTATATAATCCTGCGTTTCCTCTTCTTCATCCTGCCAACACTATGCTGTTTTTCCTGATCTGTTGACGATTCGACTGGAGGTGGACGAGTTAATTCGTCGTGCAAGCCATTTGTCACTTGTCATCCTTGATTGAAGAGTGATATGCCAATGTTAAGATGAATGCAACAGTGGCTAAAGAAGCAAGGATACTAGAACAATCTAAAGAAGAATATTAGAACAAAATAGAAGGATAAAATTAAAAGGTAAATAGAAAATAAAAAGGAGAAGGAGAAACAAAAATGTAGATTAAGAGAAATTAAAAAAGTAGAGACTGAAAGAATGAAATGAAAGGGAAATAAAAATTTCTCTTTAAAAACTATACAGATCAAGAACATGAAGATATTGTTATAATTTAAATTTTATTGCGGTGGTATAAATATTTCAATTTCTTTAACATGTTATTAATGATCAAAGCATCAAATTTATATACTAAAAATACATAAAATTCATATGTGTAATTATAATTGTCCTTGACATTTAGATAAAAATTATATCGTTATATAGTTTTTCTTCTGTCACAGATATTTTATTCTTAGAATGTTTCAAACTCGGCATGTATTCAATAAATTTCAAAGTCATGTCGAATTAAAAATTTTATAATAGTTTGATTATGGGAGAAGCAAGAATTATTATTTTCGATAAATATTTATTAAAAAGGATAAGAGAAAGAATTTATTACAAGAAATAAATATTTATTAAAAGAAAAGAAAGAAAGATTAAAACTATTGTAATCATTTAAAATTTAACAGAAGCTAAAATAAATAAGGAAATTGAAGTTATTTTAATTAATTAATTAAATTAAGTAATAACTTATTTTAATTATTCGAAACAAAATATTTCTCATGAAATTTGCACGCTACGGTTAACACGCTGTAAAAAGAGAAAACAAAGGTGCCAGGGAATGTCATAAAATATTCTGCAGTCTAGCCGCATTTAAATTTATACAAAATTCCAGTGAAAATTGTATAATTGGAACTTCAAAGGAATAACCGTGGCAGGTACGAAATTTACATTCTATTTATTAAATATTCAAGTTATTAAATTATTTGGATGAATTGTTATTAATTTTCGTAGAAGCAGGCAACCTTTAAACACTTTCTTGTAGTAAAGAAAAAGTTAATTTTAAATTATCGTGGACGACATCTAGTTCCTGACACTTTCCAGGCACGCAAGAACGGCCTATACTTGGCCATCATAAATTCACGTTGTCTGGCTGATTTTCTGACTCTCTGCAAGTTTTCGGCAATGTCGTGCATGCTGCTGTCCAAGCTCAAACGTGATGGTAACAGATTCTCGAATTTGCACCTACGAAAGGAACGTTGTTTTTTGTTAAATCGTATCCTTCGCCCATTCAGATTGAAATCTTTATTGCAATTAGACAAAATTTCCTTTCCTTAAGTGTAATGCAAATTGAAATGAAAGTACAATTTCTAGAAATTTATTTATTTATTTGAGAAAACTAAGTTTTACTATATTATATATATTTTTAAATTTAGACCAAAGCATTGTTCGAAACAATAAGTTCAATAAATTATGAAATAACTGCTTACTTTAGCATTTCATATTTCAAGCTCGTGTCCACGAAATATGATCCCACTTTTTCATTTAAGTTTAAAATTGTGCCCAATTCTATTCTGTAATTAGTAAATTCTATTATATAGTAAACTTTTATTATATTGGGTCTTTTTGTACAACGATTGAATGTAATAATAATAATTCACGAGTGTGTGTCATTAGATCTTTTTCAAATTTTTATGTTAAATAGAATAACTAAATATCTAGGGAAATATTTTATTTGTTTATTTGTTTATCAACGTGTGATTTGCAAAATTTTGTTAATAATATCAGTAGAATCCCGATATCTTAAGATATTTAAGATCGTTAAGATATTTAATTTTATTCTACTTTCTTTATTTTCTATATTTATAAAATTATAAAATAGCCATACGAAAACTATGGAATATAAAATTATAATGCTGCTAAATCAAACAGGATCGATTATTAATTCTGTTTATTTTTATATTACCTGATGATTTTCCTATTGCCGAAAAACTGGAGAGTAATATTTCTTCGATTGATAATTTTCAAGCTAACATAGACGTTTATCATTAAGTGGATCGGTTTGAAATAATAAGTATCGTCGGGATAATTTCTGAAATGCAGAATATTTTTTAAAAAAGTTTAATTGATAAAGTGTCGGATGAGATACATTAAAAAATATATTTCTAATATATAAAATATATAATTACACATATTATATTTTATATATTTCTAATTTTATATATTAGAAATATAAAAAAAATATATTATATTTCTAATATATAAAATATATAATTACAAATATTATATTTTATATATTTTATAAATATGTAAAATATAATATTTGTACATTATATTATTTTAGACTATTATTATATATTATGTGTCATTTTATATTATTATATATTATTTTAATAAAATTTCAATAAGAATTTAAACTACATATTTATAGCGGCAATTGAAATTATGTTAAAAGTATATTTCTGATATATAAATCATACTTCTTCCAATATATAAAGATATATGTCTAACATACAAAACCGTTTAGGAATCTCGACGAGATTATTCAAAATCGATAAAATTTTCAAAGCTCTTTTCAAAAACGTTCGTACAATGTTAACATTACTTTTTATACTTGCGACGAAAAAATATATAATGTATTACAAAATATAAAATATGTATATATATAATATATTTTATATTTTATATATATATATATAATTATATTTACATATATATTTATATAATTATATATATATATTTATATTTTATATATATTTTATATTTTATAATGTATAAATATGTATATATATATAATATATTTTAGATTTTATATTTTAAACATTTCGACTGACGATGAATCGAATTGAAATAAAAAACATGTCAAAAGATACATGTATCATATTTATAAAAATATATTCTCTGTATACACAAAATGCTTAACACACAAATCATGTTCATTTCTATCGAAGTATCTGAAAACACAGCGTGTCAACGAAATTTCGACGAATATTCAAAATGATCGATTAATAATATTTTCCAACGCTCCGTTTTGCAAACCTTTCTGAACTTCACAATGTTAACCTTTGCACTTGCGATGACGGGGGCAGCATAATTCAATTAAATTAAAATCAAACGTCGCTGCACGCGTTAATGTTCATTAACCTAATTACTGTTTGCTGGATCGAGGAAAGTTTGAAACGTCCGCCGACGTCAAAGACAGTTTTAATTGAAAAACACAGTTACACGGAACGTTTCGCGTACTCGAAAGGCGGACCCGGTTGTAATTAACAAAACCCCTGGCTGGAGCACGATTATTCTACTTTTTTCCTCAACGTACCCGGACACGACCTCTTCTTCGTCGTTGTCGTGGTCGTGCTCCTGGACAACAGGTTTCAGTTCCTCGACCTTCTTCTCCTTATTTCGCGGACTCACGGGCGACGACGACGACGACGCTTTGACGCTTCTACCAGAGCTGAACGTGTCGAATACACGCGTATATATTTCGTTAGTATGATTTTTAAAACATTTCAAGAGTCTTACTTTTTTAATATGGATGGACTCGTTGATCGATTCAAAAGCCTCTCTAAATGTACTGCTCGCTTTTCCTGAAAATCAATTCGTATCATTCGCGTAAGTACGAACGAAATTTTCAACATGAACATCTCTTTGTAACTGCAAGTTTCCTTTCAAAGCTGCCGGCCTTGAACGATTATTTCACGAGCCTTTATTTCACGTGAGCTTTTCGCCTCAAAATTGCAACATTTTCTCAGGTTTAAGGTATATTCAAGTATAAGCAAATAACAAATATATTACTTTTCGATTTCTATCCGGCGAGTTTAAAAAGAAAGCGACGAATTACTGTATACGGTTTGGTCGCTCGTTACGGTCCGCAGTCAGTTGCCAGCGCAAGTGGCTAAAGATACATATTAGCGACGATATTTTCATTGATAAAAATGAAAAAGGAAATAATGGCAATTGGAAGCTTCAGCAAGAAGATGATTAGAAGAAGACAACAATGTTCCACTATCTTGTGTCGCATATTTCATTTTGTTTAAAAAAACGTGATCTGCCGCTTGGTATAAAGGTAATTAGCTCCGAGTTGAAAGTTTATCAACACGAAGATTATTTGATCGTTTCATTTATAAATTTGTAGCATGTTTGAAATTACATTTTCGTTGGTTTACTAAATTAACTAGAAGTGAAGCTTCATCAATATTACATGACTTACTATGTATTTATTTATATACTGTTATATATAATAATATATAAATATATAAATAAATATAATAATATATAATATATAAATAAACATTATAATATGTTATAATATTTATTTGTATATTATTATATATAATAGTGTATTATATATTTTATTATATTTTATATATATTAGAATATATATAATAATATTACAATATATAATATACAAATATATATAAATAAATATAATAACATATAATATATAAATATATAAATAAATATAATAACATATGATATATAAATATATAAATAAATATAATAACATATGATATATAAATATATAAATAAATATTATAATATATTATAATATTTATTTATATATTATTATACATAATAATATATTATATATTTTATTATATTTTATATATATTATATTATATATAATATATTTTATAATACATTATACTATATATAATATATTTTATAATTCATTATATATTTTTTATATATTATTTATATATTTATGTTATATATATGACACTATATATTTATTTATATACTTATACACTTATATCCTTGTACATTTGTATTAATAAAATAAATTAACAAAATAAAAGGATTAACAAAATATATTCACATTTCCATATACCTTGATTAAACGAAATTCAAATATTTTTGTCACAAATCAGTATCTTATACACGTAATAGTAACACAAAGTGGGTGTAAAAGTCATTCGAACTTCGTTTACTTAAAGTGTCAATTTCAACGGAAATAAGTGAAAATTAACTTTTCAAACTAATTGAATAAACATCGACAAATTGACAGACGCACCGTGTACGCAGTCTTGACGATCGATTCTTGGCCCTGGCATATGTCCCACTTCCACGTGAGCGGCACACCCGCCGGATTATCCCAGTAAATTCCTCCGATCTGATTGTACGACAGCCTGCAGAAACAATTGGAAACTTGAGTGGAAGGTGTCGAACGAGCCCGACAGTAATTAAAAATTCCTGCGAGATTCTTTTCGAATACGGACCTCATTGCCCCGTCCTCGTCGAGGACAGCGCCGTTGCCCATCGTGTCGAACACCGCGACAATTTGCGAGCCTCTCTCCACTCCGACGCAATCCTTGCCCCCTGGGCTGAATACAGTATACATATCATCTTGAAATCGATAGTTTCGATCATTTTTATACAATTTTCCTCTCTTCCTTCGCATCGACTATTGTCGACGAACGATTACTTTTATTAATAAAAGTTGCCAGGGTTGTTGAAAAATCGCACTGACAAACGTTTCATTCTGTTTCAGAACGAAATTGTAAAATTTCGCAGTATAACATAGTTTTATAATATATATTTGTATTTTAATATAATATAATGTATAATTGTATTTTATTGAATTTTAATATATAATATAATGTAATATAATATGATATAATATATACTTCTATATATATTGTATTTTAATATATTACATATTATATTTTTTATATTTGTGTTACATATATTATATATTATATATTTATATTTTATAATATATCTAATGTATAATATAATTTACAATATATATAGTATACTAATATATCACTAATATACTAGTATAATATATATTATGTATAATATAATTATATATATAATATTTATTATACTAGTATTATACTAACGTACTAATATATATTATAAATAGTATAATATAACACATAATATACTTAGTATATATAATATATGGTATAATATAGTTAGTATGTTTAATACATAGTATAATATAATACTAAGTATGTACACTATATAGTATAATATAATACTAAGTATGTATAATATATAGTATAATATAATACTAAGTATGTACACTATATAATATAATATAATACTAAGTATGTACACTATATAATATAATATAATACTATGTATGTATAATATATAGTATAATATAATATATAATATGATACAGTATAATATAATATAGCATAATATAATATACTTTTACTGTCTATATTTTTACGATATTCAGTAGTTTAAATATATAAATATAATAAACATAATAAATATTGTTACTTATGTTACGAATTCTTTAATATTATCCATGCAAAAATTTGAAATGATATTTAAAGAATTTTCGAATTGAAGGAAAAGCCATGCCACGTGGAAATTAAGTTAAATGAAGGAAAATTAAGTATCTTTAGCGAATATGTATGAACTCGTAAAGGATATATTAAAACTTACTTTTAAAAGCAAGTGTTGAAGAAAGTCATACGAATTCAGATCATATGAAATTAAAATTGGAATGAAGTGCACAGAAAGTAATATCATGCTAACTGGATAAAATTAATGGAATTATTACGTTTTACTTTGTCCACAATTGCAGCGGAAGAGGAACACGAGTTTCCAAATTACGAGATAAAGTTAATTTGACATAATCCCGAAATAATATTTGTGCATTATTCATCTCGCATTATATTAAATAATTTCCAAATTTATCCCAATTTTATTCCATCGATCAATAATCTGACAAACGACGATGGAAATTATATACATTGTAATTATTATATATTATAATAATTTATATTATATAAATAATATTATATAATATTATAGTTATATAATATTATTAACTATTAAATTATATAAATAATATTATATAATTTATATTATATTTATATTATATTATAATAATAATTATATATTTATTATTACATGTTTTAATTATGTTATAACATAATTATTATGTTTACAATACCATGAATAATTATTATATTATACTATAATTATAATTATACTATACTATATATACTATACTATACTATATTTTACTATAATATATTATACTATAGTATACTATACTATACTATACTATACTATACTGTATTGTACTATACTATACTGTATTATACTATACTATAATATACTATACTCTACTATGCTATGCTATGCTATACTATACTGTACTATACTATACTATACCATACTATGCTATAATATATTATACTATGTTATACTATAGTATACTATACTATACCTTAATATACTATACTATATTATACTTTACTATAATATACTATACTATATTATAGTATACTGTACTATACTGTATTATACTTTACTATATTATACTATAATATACTATACTATATTATACTATACTGTACTCTACTATACTATATTATACTATACTGTACTCTACTATACTATATTATACTATATTATACTATAATATACTATACTATATTATACTATAATAATAATTATATATTATAATAACCATTATTATATTTTTCATTTTGCATCTAGTTTTCTATAATAATGCCAACTTGAATGCTTTAAGAATATTGATAGACAATTTCGTTCAAATCATATTGATTGAAACGAATCCCATTTTTCAGCAATCCTCGTGCAATCGATTATCCAGTTGAAGGTATATATTTTTTGAAATATTCGAAACATTTGACTCATTGACAATTCAAAATTGGCCGTTAATGATCCGAAATTCGGCAGAACGACGAAATTCCCAAAATATCACGGGGACGACAATCGGTTTTGCGTTGGTAAAATTCGCAGGAAATCTATTAATATGTGGATTATGTTATGCCAATATTCATTCACTTGGATTAATGTTAATTACGTGCGCGAACAAATCAACGCGCAAACAAATTCGATTTAAATCGCTGGTACTTGCAGATAATCTGCCTCGTGATATTCGTAGATTCCGTAATTACATTTAACACGTTCTATCGACGTGGATTTAACTCCAAAATCGTTCAATTATGAACATTCCGTTATGGAAATTTGCAATTTCGCGTTTCGTTGTGCCGAGTGCCAATTGCGTTAAACGTTCTAAACGTTAATTTGGTAGAATTTAGATTCGAAACACGCTTGTTTAAGAATTGTTTCTAATTTCTATGTATCACGAATAAATTTTTATCACTTTATCACTTTGTTATAGATAATGTTATCTTGTTTGACCAGCAAATGATTATTTCATTACTTTGGCAATGACGTAAAGTGATTTTTTATTTGTTTCTTACTTTGTGTTTGTCTCGTATATCTAACCAGTTTCAAATAAATCGGTTCTCCTTTTACTTTTTCATATATTTTTACACTACTTTTTATACTTAGAATTAATTAAAATATCACTGGATTCGAAATACTCTATCTAAATTTATTTGTTAAATTTATCTTCAAACTATTTTCAATCCAAACGTCTTTCGAGCGTGTCCTAAATCTTAAAAACCTTAAAAATTAATTTCGAAATTAATATCACGAATATTGTGGAAAATAATTTAATTTTTTTGAAATTGATATTTAATTCAGTTAATTAAATTCAAGTCAGTGCTCTACATTCTACGTAATTGTCAATAAATTTTTATATATCTTGCGTAATAATTGGATCACGCTTACTCAAAGTTTAACCTTCAAGAAGATTATCGATCGCGATTGAAATATATTTGTGTCTTTAGCTCAATAATTACATTTTCGATTTTGCGGTCTCTGAAGTTTAATGGCCACCACTCCATTCGGATAAAATACTTCTGCTGACCTATCAGTGTGAAAATTGACAAAGGTACGAGATCCATCATCGTAGTACATTCTTCCATTGAGTTTATGCTTTTTGAACCTGATAAAAGAAAGAAGATATAAACAGAATAAATGTTTAATAGAAGATATAAATATAATATATTTATAATTTTGATATAACTTAATTCAATATAATAATTTAATGTATGTTATATTAACATTATATTGTAACATGTAACAATATAGTAATATTGGTTATATTTAGTAATTAATAATTATTATAAAAGTAATGTTATTCAATATAATACTTATTAATATGAACAAAATATTTATAAAATTATAAAGGAACTAATAAGGTGTATGATTTAATAAAATATTATGTACATGGGACAAATATGTTTGTATTTCTAATCTATTTTTATGCACCTCATGTTATATTAATTAAAAAGAAGCGTCTCTATTATTTCGTATACGTTGTTAATTTTTATATATTTATATATACAGTTTTGTGAAATTTTATATATTTTATAATTTTATATACTTTATAATTTTATAATTTTATGTACTTTATAATTTTATAATTTTATGTATTTTGTAATTTTATAATTTTATGTACTTTATAATTTTATAATTTTATGTACTTTATAATTTTATAATTTTATGTACTTTATAATTTTATAATTTTTTGTACTTCGTAATTTTATGATTTTATATACTTTATAATTTTATGATTTTATAATTTATAATTTTATACTTTATAATTTTATACTTTATAATTTATAATTTATAATTTATAATTTTATACTTTATAATTTATAATTTATAATTTATAATTTTATACTTTATAATTTATAATTTATAATTTATAATTTTATACTTTATAATTTATAATTTATAATTTATAATTTTATACTTTATAATTTATAATTTATAATTTATAATTTATAATTTACAATTTTACAATTTTATAATTTTACATACTTTATATTTTTATAATTTTATATATTTTATGCGTACAATTTTGTGAAACTGTGTACACAAAATATTTAAAGCACTGTGCGTCTTATAACATCTGCTATGTGAAACAATTTTCTTAAATTCCATTCTCAGAAATATGAATTTGCATGAAAATTTTTGATAATCACACAATGTAAAACAGAAATATTTACTTTGTTTATTATAGAAATAATGCATAAAATAATATATTTCAAAATAAACAAGAATATCTTACGTATCGTTGAATATATTCAAATACAGAGTACTTTCTCCTTAAAACGATAAAAACGATCGAAAGCTTTACTCGCTAGAAAAATAAGAACGCGTTGTTTTGCTCTCGCTTTGCTAACTTTTGAATCGCAGGGATAATGTTAGCGAGCTTGAGCCGAAGATCGTGCTTTTTGAATCCAACGAATGGGGAAACGTGTAAAGAGATTAATGATTAATTGTAATAAATTACGGAAGTTGGTTTGCAGCAACAAGTTAGTACACGCGGCACACCGTGTCTTCAATGCCGTCTTGTTAGCTTTGCGCTTCAAACTAATAGTTAACTCGTTAGCAACTAATTCTAAAGTTTGCACAGAGTTGATGCGAATGCCACGTGAATTAACAAATTTTTAGTTTATTTGCTCTCGCGTTTGTTTGTTCTCTTGTTCTCTCTTTATTCGCTCGAGGAAATTTAGCGGCACTCAAATTCAGAAGTGACCTAAAAATGATCTAAATCATCCAATAGGAAATTTATAATTGTGTTTCTAAGTTATTACAAAAAGTTATTACTAAATTTTAGTTAATATTCGAATACGAAAACTCTGTGATTTAATCCACTTATTTGAAATTCTATCATAATAAAAATAATTACTCATAGAAGGAAGAATTATGCGAACTCTAATTGTAATAAATAGAGTAAGTTCATGTAAATGGAATTCTTTTGTATAGTAAAAAGAGTATAATTATATTTATTATTATATTATAATTATGTTATTTAATTGTAATATAATGGAGTTCTAATGTACAGTGAAAAGGGTATAATTATATTTATTATTATATTATAATTATATAATCACTATATTATTATATAATTATAATATAATTCTATTGTATAGTAGAAAGAATACAATTATATTATAATACTACATTATATTATGTTATATTATATTATATTACATTATATTGTATCATATTATAATATATTGTATTATGTTTTATTATATTATATTATATTACATTATATCATATTATATTATATTACATTATATTATATTATATTATAATTATATTATTCAAAGATTTCAATTATATATTATACTCTTGATTGTATTATATTACATGTAAATGATAAAATATTTGATAAATGATAAAAGAAAAAATTTGAACGATTCGATTATATTTTATTAGTGAAGTAACATGTTTTGAAAAATTTAAAATGGAAACACAATCATTCTTATTATACATAGAATTCGACAACGAATAACGTAGACAAAAATTAGAGTTTTAAAAACTATTTTATCATATGAAAGACAAGAAACAAAAAAAAAAAAAAGGAGAAAACATAAATGATACTTTCTTTCTTACAGAATAAATTTCACCAAAATTAAAGTTGAAATATCATCTTCTAAATTTCAATATAGTTGAGATATTATATTGTAATATATTGCATTATGTAAAATTATACAATTGTATAGATAACATTGATTATATGTATAGATTATTCATAGATTAGACATTGTATAAATTATATGTAAAATTATTATAATTGTTACATTAATTTATATAGATTTCCCTTCGAACTGAGTTGCTGAAATAAAAGATGTTCCCACGTTCGTACGGTGAATGGTAATGGTAATAAGAAAATTGACGGCAACGTCGACAATAAAATATTATAATATAAAAGGGAATTTCTTGACGTGTTCAGAGACGGTGAGTTTGATTAGCCAAACTTGTCATCCGTAGAATTCGATCACGCGAGGTGGCTCGTTAAATTTTATGCATCGATGGATCGACGAGCTGATGCTAACTCGAGGGGTTACCCTGCCAGTCATATGAACGCTCGACGACGATTTCTCAACCCATTACCGAGCAACATTTCGCGAGGCAGTCGTATATCCTTGAAGAAAGAAAGAAAAGAATCGAAGAAGCAACTCGTCCTACACGACCATGATATTTCTATCGAATAGAAGAAAATTTGCTTACAGGCAAATTTCTTTCAATTTGGATTCCGAGAGTGACCTCGAATTGAACAAATAGAGGGAATGATTGAAGAATATAGACATAATTTGAAGAATACTTAAAAAAAAGAGAAAAAGAATTAATCGAAATTAGAGAAAAAGTCTATTACTACGTATTATTACTATTTCTATACTAACTATTCTTCGTTTTCTGTTTAAAATTTGTCTCACGAAAATGTTCGATTAATTAGCAGAAACTTTTTATTAATATCGTTATGGAAAATTGTATTTTGACATTTTGTTGATAACCGATTATGATGATCCTATTGAGTTTAAAATCTTAATTTCAATTGACACATATTATTATACTTGAAAGAATTATTTAGCTAGATACTAAATTTTTTATTAAATACGTATAAAATATTTTGTAATTTATATATATATATATATATATATATATATATATATATACATATATATTTCGGTATTATGGTTTATATAAATTAATATAATTGTATGTTACAATTATGACAATCGTATGTCATTACGGTGTTGATGAAATTTCAAAATATTCAGACACTCTTGTACTCACACGTAACTGAGTATGAAAATTAAAAAAAATTCAACAAACGAGTTCAATTTTACTTTCTTTTAAAGGCGTAGAAATTAATTATATAATAAATTACATAATTTATATATTGTTTCTTAGTAAATTACTGAAATTGTTTAATATACATTATATTATATACTTGTTTCTGAGTAAATTACTAAAAGAAACAATGTAGTAATAACTAAACAATATAGCTAAACAATATATAATAACAGAAACAATAATAAATTATATAATTTTTATATATTGTTACTTAGTAAATTAAAAGAAACAATACATTGTTTAATATATGTTGTATAATATGCTTGTTTCTGAGTAAATTAGTAAAAGAAACAATATGTACTAACAGAACTAATAATAAATTATATAATTTTTATATATTGTTTTTTAGTAAATTAAAATAAACAATATATGTTTAATGTATATTTAATATATTACATAATATAATTATAAACAATATATTATATAATATACTTGTTTAATATTTAGTATATTATATAATATACTTGTTTCTGAGTAAATTACTAAAAGAAATAATATATACTAAACAATATACTAAACATAACTAACAGAAACAATAATAAATTATATAATTTTTATATATCGTTTCTTAGTAAATTAAAAGAAACAATATATTGTTTAATATATATTATAGAATATACTTGCCTCTTAAATTACTAAAAGAAACAATATATTACTAACAGAATTATATTACTAATAATTACTGACAGAAACAAATATATTACTAATAATTACTAACAGAAACAAGTATATTACTAACATTTAATTGATTTATTATTGTTTCTGTTAGTATATATTGTTTCTTTTAGTAATTTACTCAGAAACACAAGTATATTACTAACATTCAATTAATTTATTATTGTTTCTGTTGGTATATATTGTTTCTTTTAGTAATTTACTCAGAAACAAGTATATTATATAACATATATTTTAGTAATTTACTAAGAAACAATATATAAAAATTCTCAGCAGTAATTTCGACATAGAAGCTTAAAAACATTGAAAGTTCAGGGAACAGTTAGAAACAAAAATTCCCCTCAAGTCCGGAAAACAATTCTCTATCAATTCTAATAATTCCAGAAAGCAAGTCCCATAAATAAATTGTCTGAAATTTGCTATTTTCTAAAAAAATGAAAAAGAAAACGAACGCGACATTAATTTCTACAATAAACGAATTAATTTCTACAACTGTTGCAATAAATAAACGTCAGTTTTATATACGTATGCAGTCCTGGTGTTGTCGAATCTAAAATTCTGCCCACGATCACGTCGCTATCCGTGTTTACTGGGTTGACGTACCAGTCGAGATGAGGCTTTGCAGGCTTTGCTTGATACTGGATAATTTTCCTCATGATTTTGGCAACCGGGAGCACAGTCCAGCCGAGCCTCACGAAGTGCTCGTTCGATAATTGGTACTCGATCGGGCTTCGATCGTCTGTAACGTAGAAATTTCACGAGAATGCCAAACTCGCCACTCGCGGTGCACACGTAAACCACGTTATTTGGATGGCGATACGATAATGATGACCGAACGTTCCCCAGGCCCTAAATGTTCCCGATTAATGATGATTTCGTATCAGACTCCAGTCGATCTCCAATTGACATAGGAATCTCACTCAAACGCGTATATCGAACTACGAATCTCGCCATTTAAGTTGAAACGATGACGATCGAACTAGTTACCTACGACTTGTTCGTTCTACTGATGACTATTTCTTTTCGTCGAGATCATTTTAATCGTCAATCGATTTTTATTTCTTATTGGGAAGAAGTCAAGAGTTGGTGTAGCTTTACAGAAGAAACGGGTCACTTCCCATCCACGGTTCTTTTGACAAATAATGGTCCCCATGATGGAAGCGAAAGAAAAAGAAATTCGATCCTTTGATCTCGAGTTTTTTGTGTGAATCTTTATTAAACGATTAATATGTATATATATATATATATATATATATATATATATATATAATATCATAAAATGATTTATATATATTATTAAATAATTTATAAATATATATTATTAAATAAATTATATATATATATTTTTGATATATATATAAATATTTTTATAAATATATCAATTATATTTTTATTATTAAATAATTTATATATATATACTATACATATATATATAATTTATATATATATATATACTAAAATATAATTGATATATTATAAATATATCAATTATATTTTTATTATTAAATAATTTATATATATATACTATACTTTATTACTAAATAATTTATATATATATACTATACTAAAATATAATTGATATATTATAAATATATCAATTATATTTTCATTATTAAATAATTTATATATATTTAATATATATATATATATATATAAATATTTTTGTAAGCATATCAATTATATTTATATTATTAAATAATTTATATATATACTATTATAATTAAATAATTTACCGAGGACTTAGAGTTAATTTCTTCTCTCTAAAAAAACAAACTTTCTAACTTTTTCTCTCTAAAAAAGCTGTGTTCAATTCTGATGTCTACACACTGTGTACAATTTGCAATAATTGATACTAATTGTATAAGGAAATTTCACTTATACTGTACTGGTGTTCCTATTTCATGAAACGATACGTATTCTATAATGAAATTTTTCAATTTTGGTAGCTAGAACATTTTCTGCGTAGAACTGTACGACTTTTCATACCGATTTGGGCGTCGTTGAATTTTTCAGATGCCACCTTTTTTTTATTGTAATGAGATCCATTCGTCTTGCTATGATCGTCGCTCGTTCCATTAGAATCAAGTCGTCTCTCCATCTTGCTCTCCGAATGCATTGTTGATTTATCCTCGCCGCTGCTTGTACCACGCTTAACTTCGCATATAAAGAGTTTAATTATGCTTGTTTTTAGTCTAACACAGCATAAGTAAGCGAGCTCTCTTTCAGAATTTCTTAATATTTCATGTTTTGTGTAAGAAAAAAAAAAAAAATTTATAAATACATGTAGAGTAAATATGTATATACTCATTAATTTAGTGAATTTTAATAATAGCAACAAATAAGAATTTTATATCATTTTGAATAATTTTATAGATTTAATAGTCATTTTGAATAATTTTATAACTACAGCGTGAAATGTGATTAGAATTCTTGGGAAAAAATAATGAGCAAATGAAGAAAATAAAATAAATATTAATATCATTAAATTTTGATATTGTGGTCAATAAATAGTAAATAAATAAGTACAAATATAAATATAAGTATATATAATATTTATAACATATAATGTATATAATATTTATAATAAATATAATAAATAAAATTATAACAAATAATAAAATATAATAAATATAAGTAGAAGTATAAATATAAATATAGGTATATATTTATAACATATAATGTGTTATATATATTATATATTATACATTATATATATAAAATGTAATGTATATAATATCTATAATAAATATCATAAATAAAAATACAACAAATAATAAAATATAATAAATATAAGTACAAATATAGGTATAAGTATAAATATAATTATAAATATAAATATAAATATAAGTATAAATGTAAGTATAAATATAAGTATATATAATATTTATAACATATAATGTATTATGTATATTTTATATTATATTTATACTATATGTATATTATATTTATATTACATTATATATTATATTATATTTATGTATATTTTATATTATATTTATATTTATACACTATATATATAAAATATAATGTATATAATATTTATAATAAATGCAATAAATAAAAATACAACAAATAATAAAATATGATAAATGTAAGTATAAATATATAGATACAAGTTTCTCTTTTTCACGAAATCACGGACTATAACCATCTCTGAAGATTCTAAATTCCTATACACCGAGTATATACCCACCGTTTCTATGTTTCTTCGTTAAGTCAGACTCAGTTTCGTCTCGTTCCTTGCTCGAGCGACTTTTCCTCTTTCCATCACGCTTAAGAACTTTTCCTTCTTCATCAAACCTATAAGACACCTTTCTCCCACTATCAAACGCATCTGCCTTCTTCTTCCTCTTTTGTCTACCAGCCACTTTGCTCTCGTTTATATCCGCCATTTCGTCCATCTCTTCCTCTCTTAGCTTCTTCTTACGCCCACCACCGCTTATTTTCTCTTCGATGTTCGTATCGATTGTTGTTTCAACGTGTTCCTTCGGTTCATTTACTTCCAATCTATTTCTGTATAATTTCCTCCCTTTCTTTTCGGCAATTGTCTGAAAAAGGAGATCTCAGCCTCAATGGCTGTGAAAATGATAATTTGCAGCGTTGTGGTCTCACATTCGATGTACTCGTAATGAGTATCACTGTGATACTCATTCTGGACAGGAGTTTCTATTTTTACAATATTGATTTCGTTTCTTTCAAAAATAATTTTTGTATCAATCTGGAAGGAATTGAACATATTTGTTTCTTTCCTTCTGAAAACTTTGCAAACTCAAACATTTTTATGTGCACTAAAAAAATTATTGTCACCGTTAAATCTACCATGGCTTTTAAAGATTGAAGTCTTTTCCTCTAAAATCTGGTACACTTGGAAAAAAATTCAACAAAAATGTCTGTTTCTCTCCTTTTGAAAAATTTAAACGTTTTTTTACATAGATTGTTAAAAGTTATTTTCGCAATTAAATCCACCATTTTTAAAGATCAAAGTCACTTCCTTAAAATTTAAAATCTAGAATATTAAACTCGTAAACTTTTTGGAAGCCACTGCTCTCTATGTATATATATATATATATATACGTACATAAATTGCAGTTGTCGTAATTCATGACCACCTGCGCTGGCAACTGATTGCGGACCGTAACGAGTGACCAACAATCACCGTGTACAATAGCTCGTCGCTTTCTTTTCCTTTCGAACTCGTCGGTACGATGCCACTCGACAGAAATGATCGAGAAACAACATATTTATTATTTGTTATTTCGTCTAGGTCATACTTGACTATACTTGAAACTAAGAGAATTTTTTATTACAACCTTTGGACAAGAAATTCTCGACGTGCACGTCATTCCAGCGCAAGAGGTTAAAAAAAAAAAAAACTCTTGTATCCAAAATTTAACCTAAACCCAAATAATTACCATTTTCTTCATTTTCGCCGATCTCTCCGCCATCGACGTAATTTCCTTCCGTTCTTTCGTCCGATTCCCAGCAACATCTTCGGTCTCCGTTCTCGCGAATTCCCCGTGCACGATCGGGCTCGAATATTTCACGTCCCTTTTAATTTCCCTCGTTTCCCCGGCGGCCGCTCGTTCATCGTTCGCGTCACGTAAACCGCGCGATCCACGGATCTTGTCGAGCTTACTTTTATACGGGACATCGTCACGTTCCTCCCGTCCATCTGGCGTGATAGGATACTCGCCGGTTCTGTCGATATCGCGGCCCCTCTTTATTTCTCCTCTCGTCTCTTCAACCGCCGGCGCACGAGCTACCGTCTTTGTTAAATCCCTGCCCACGACTCTGTCAAATTTATCCGTTTCCCGGGCCGACTCGCCGTATCTTTCTGCCTCTGTTTTCCTCGTGAAAAACGCTGCAGCCACGGCGCGACGTGTCTCGCGGGCAGATCGATGCACCGTTGTTCCCCTCGCGCCCTCATCGTCGTCGAATCTCGCGTCTCTGCCCTCTAGATCCGTCGCAGTTACAGCGCGAGACCCATCCGCGGGCACGTGCGTTCTTAAATCGTCGTCGAATCGCTCGTCTATCCTCGGTGACATTGATTTTGCCCTCTCATCGATCGACTCGTCTCTAGCGGCGTCCTGTTTGGTTACAGAAATTTGCTATTCCTGTCCGTATTGTTCACTCAAGCGGGATTTCTACATCTCTTTTTGTTCATTTGGGTTAGGTCGTTTGATGACGTATGGTGTGAAAGATGGAAATTGGAATGTTTAGTAAATATATTAAATATAGTAAATATATTAAACATACTGTAATATTATACATATATATATTGTAGTATATTTAGTAAATGTACTATAATATTATATATGTTATAGTATGTTAACTAAATATAACATATATTTAATTTATATTTATAATATATATAATATATAATATACAATATATATATTTATACATTTATACTATATATTTAGTATAAATATATAGTATAATTATTATTTATACTATAATATATACCTATATTTATTTATTTACACTATATTTATTATAATATATATACTATACTATATATATTATAAAATATATTATAAAATATATTTAATTTATATTTATAGTATATATAATATATAATATACAATATATATATTTAGTATAAATATGTAGTACAATTATTATTTATACTATAATATATACCTATATTTATTTATTTACTATATATTTATTATAATATATATACTATAATATATATTATAAAATATATTATAATATATATTTAATATAACTATATTTAATAGTATTTAATATTTAATATTTAATATAAATATATTTACTTTAATATACACATATTTAATAATATTATATATATATATATAATGTAAAATATATTTATAGTTATTCATTTATATTATATATAATTTACTGAATATAACATATATTTAATATAAATATATTTACTAAATATATTAAATATTCATTCAAAACATAAATATCTAAGAAAGATTGCTTTAAGCAGTTTGAATATACTAAATTTATCTTAATTTCACTTTTACTTAAATTCACATTCATTTTATTTCACATTCAATTTACTTTAATTTTATTTTCACTTAAATTTGTGGCTTTGAAAAAATTGCAAATTGCACGACGAAAAATTTTTATTAAATGTTTGAATAATTATATCATTTAAAGAAGCTGTAAAAAGTAATTTTTGTGTACGAAATAGTTTAAATAAGTTCCACGATCTAAAATTAAAATAGCTTAAAAGTTCCACGAATTAAATTTAATAACTGACAGATGAGAACTTTTAAGGAAATTCATTTAGATTTGGATGTTAATTAATTTTCGCATTTGTTTGTTGTAATATTATTTTCATCAAAAATAGAACATGCACGAAACTCGGATGAAAACAAAAATTCCTCGATGAATCGTTCGGAATGACGATTGAAAATAAAAGCTGTGCGTAAATTTCGCTGAAGATTTTGACGAACTATTGTTTTTATTTAACTAACTGATATCGACTGACGTAGAATCCACTCCATTCGGATGTCGTGAAATTGTTGAGCTTCGTTGCAGCAAAATGTACCCTAATGAAATAAAATTGTATTTCACGTTACTTCCAGTCCTTTTAATTTTCAATTTCTAAAATACATTTCATACAAATTTGAAGACAATCAGACCGACAGCCTGAAAGAAGATTGTGTAATAATTGTTTGTAAATCTTACACTAACGTAAAATTATCTGAAATCTTACACTGATGTTGACATGCAAGATTAAGAAAGTATTTGAACAGAGATTCACTCAGAAATAAAATAGCCAGATAATTATTAATAATTTATTAATAATTATTAATAAATTATTTCACTATAATATTAATATTAATATTAATAATAATATTAATAATATTAATATTAATTTAATATAATATTAATAATAATTATTTCACTACAATATTAATATTAATATTAATAATAATATTAATAATATTAATATTAATATTAATATAAATAATAATATTAATAATAATATTAATAATATTAATATTAATATTAATATAAATAATAATATTAATATTAATATTAATATTAATAATAATATTAATAATAATTTAAATTAATATTATTAATATTATTAATATTAATTATTTAATATAGATATTATTAATATTATTAATATTAATTATTTAATATAAATATTATTAATATTATTAATATTAATTATTTAATATAAATATTATTAATATTATTAATATTAATTATTTAATGTAAATATAATTGATATTAATATTAATAATAATTTATTAATATTTATTAAAAATTATTAATGCACAATTATCATCCAAATGAACACATCATTCGATTCATCATTTTTGAAATAAGGGTACCACTCGAGCCTAATTCAGACAGATAGAAATCCTTCTTTGCTGCGTTTGAAATCAATACGTACCCACTGTCGATTGGCCTCACGGACAATACGATCGCAAAACCGGCATAACTTCAGACAGAGTCGTGTCTCAGGCCTCTTTTCACTCCAATCACGAATAAAGTTATTCGCAAGATTTAGCGTCAGTTTGGCCTGCGTATTGGCGAACGGTTCTGCAACGAGCGCCGTATAAAATCTCGTAAAACCCGAGAGGTCTCGCATAATTAATACCAGCTTCATTAGTAAACCTCGTAATCCCGTTAACTGTTCGACAAAATCTTCTCGATCCCGCAGTTACCTTTTTTCCTTTTTTTTTCTTTTTTTTTTTTTTTTTTCTTCACGTTTACGACAACTTATAACTGATAAATATCGATGGATGTTCTCAGTAGTCGGCTACTAAATTGAAAGTATTACCTTCCAGCCGTTGGCAGGAGCAAATCAGCTTCTTCATTATTTCCTTCAAGAGGAGAGACAACGTTCGAAGTTTCTCCGACATGCCGCAAGCCGCTAATCTCTCCAAACTGCACAAGACACTCTTTATGTGACATATTATGTCCTGGATGGCGCAGCATCTTTGCAAACACGTCAGAATTACGTCCACCTGTTTGCAACAAGGAGACTGTAATTATGTTGTAACTGTATTATTACATCACATTATTATACAGGGTAGTCAGTGAAAGACTGAACGATATGAAATAAAAATAATTTTTACAAACACATGTGTTTTAATTTTTTAGAAATACTTTACTTCTATTTTTTATTATTTATTTATTATTTTATTTGGAAATATAATTAATATATATTATATATTATATATAATATATAATATAATATATTATATATTATATATTATATATAATATATAATATAATATATTATATATAATATATAATATATATATTTATTATTTTATTTGAAAATATAATTAATGTAAGGAATATATTATATATTATTTGTTTATTATTTTATTTAGAAATATAATTAATATAAGGAATATATAATATATAATATATATTTAAATATATTATATTTATACATTTATATATTTATATATATATTTATATATAATATATATTTATTTATTTATTATTTTATTTGGAAATATAATTAATGTAAAGAATATATTATTGTGTATTATTTGTTTATTATTTTATTTGGAAACATAATTAATATAAGGAATATATAATATATATATATATATTTATTTACTATTTTATTTGGAAATATAATTAATATAAGGAATATATTATATATTATATATATCTATACTATATAAAATATAATTTATATATTTTGTATAATATGTTTTTTTAATATCATGTGTGAACCTATAAAAAAGGAAAATAAAAAAAATTGACAATGAACAAGTAATGACTTTTTCAAACACTTCAGTTTTTCAGTGGTCACCCCGTATAATTATATCATTACTGCGTTTTCCTTAAACTTAATTATTTTTAGATCAATAAAATTGACGTGATTTTAATAAAAAGATAATGTTATTTTGACTTCTCTAAGAAATTCGAAAAGTATGTTTTTCGATTAACATCTGACAACCTATTTTGTAAATTTATTTGAATAGTGGATCGTTTAAATCATATACCAAAATAATTCTGAATAATAATTGAGGTAAGAGAGGTATTTAATTATTTTTCATTATTTTAATAATAATAACTGCGGTAAAAAGAGGTATTTAATTATTTTTTAAACAACGTATTACGTGACGTCAAAAATCGAAAATCTGAAAACTCTTCAGTTAATGATTATCGTGAAAAAAAAGTATTGAATTAAGAAAAAGAATTAAAATTAAAAAGAATTACAAAAAGTATTGAATTATTACTCTCGACGAAAATTGCATATATTGGCAGCACATTTTCTTGATGAACGATTGTAGTGAAATATTTAATTATAATTGTTGCGAGCAATAATGTGAGAAATCGATACTCATTCGCTTTCCAATTAATGACTGCGATAAAAGCAATATGTAATTGTTATTTCGCGAGTAATGTACTAAATGAAATGAGATGAAGTAAAATGGAAAGGTTTATACGCTTTTCAATTGACAAATGCAACAAATAAATAAATTTAATCCTTGCGTATCGAATAACTTCATTTAATAAAATTTCCATATGGCAACCGTTATACATATTAAAAAAAAAAAATTAAAACTGTAACTGCATGAATAATATGTAAAAATTGATAGTCAATTCTAGTTTTCAATTAATAATTGCTGTCAAAGTAGCTAGTTATAGTTACTTTACGACGAATATATTAAATGATATGAAAAGTTGACGTTTGTTATTTTTAAACTAATGATTGTGTAAATGAAGTGTTTCGTTATTTGGCAAACAATTTTCTTCCGTGAATGTTTCTGTGTAATAACAATCACACATTTCTCATTTACTGATTATGGTGAATGAAATATTTAATTGCTACTTTACAAATAATGTATATTAAACGAGAAGAAAAATTGATATTTTACAATTAATGATGAAAGAATAATAATTATATAAGTAATAATATATATAATAATATATTATAGTATATTATATTACATTAATAATAATATAATAATAAAATACTAAAGAAATAATAATAATAAACTAATGTACTAGTATACTACTTAATAATAAAATAATATACTAATGTATGAAATAAGAAAAATTGATATTTATGTAAATTTCAAGAAATGATTGCAAAATAAAATAATACTCAATTGTTGCTTTGCGACTAATGTATACTAAATGAAAAGAAAAATTGATATTTTACAATTAATGATGAAAAAACAATTATATAAGAAATAATATATATAATAATATATTATAGTATATTATATTAATAATAATAGAATAATAAAATGCTAAAAAACTAATAATAATATACTAATATACTAGTATATTACTTAATAATAAAATAATATACTAATGTACGAAATAAGAAAAATTGATATTTATGTAAATTTCAACTAATGATTTCAAAATAAAATAATACTCAATTGTTGCTTCGCGACAAATGTATACTAAATGAAAAGGAAATTTGATACCCGTGCATTTCACAATTCATGATTAACAATGAAAGAAATATTTAATTGTAATTATGAACAACATGCTAAAGATTATAAGAAATTAATATCCATATAAATTCTAAGTAACTGCAACAAGAAGAATAGTTGGTTGCTACTTTGTCGACAATATACCATATCATATAAAAAATATACTTCAGTAATGATTAAAAGTTAGTAACATTATTAATAATTTAAAGTAATGAAAGTGAATTTTTTTTAAAAATACATAAGTAAAATTTATTTTGTACCTTTTGTATCAGTGTTAATTAATTAATTTTAATAATTTTAATTATCTCGAAAGTAATTGATCTAAATATATATATATATATATATATATATATATATATATATATATATAATTTTATTATAATAATATATATATAATTATAATTATATATATATAATTTTTCTTGTAAAATAAAAAAAATAAATATATGTTTGTCGTATTTATTAATATCTAAATAGATGTTCATCTACATTTCAATTAATCAATATAAAAAAATTGATTTCTTGATACACATGCATTTCAATAAATAATTGCGATTAATGAAACGAACGTTTAATCGCTATCGAAATGAAGCATTCTTACTCCCTAAAGTATCCAGAAGTGTCAAAAGTATAGATTCGCGTGATAAAGAAAATTAATCGTATTCAAGAATTATTTAATCGCTACTTCTCGGATAATTTCATCCGGGAACACCGCCGTGTCTTGACAGCGAACGCAAGTGTACGCATCGCGAAACATTCCAGGCTGTTGTCTCTTTTTTAGCACGTTTCCGCAGATTATTGATGTCATTGCCGTGGCCACAATGTCCAGTGCACCGTGCAAAGGGACCGCGTCGTAATTTATGCCGCAGCATTTGCCCGCGTGGAACCTGATTTTTCAGATACAGTTACGCCATAACTTATCTTCTGCGTGCGCACGGGCCGTGCCCGCCATTGTACGAAATTATCGGGAATTAAGTGACTGCCGGACGAACTTGTAGAAGTCCATAAAACTTTTGAGCAAACGATGAGCTGTTATGAAGATCTCCAACGCTGGCGTTGACCATTCCGATTCGTCCGCGGTTGATCGTTGCTCTCGATAATAGCAGAACTTTCTGCAGGGCATGATGAATGAATTCGAGAGTTTCGTCACCTGGACAAATCGATCCTTTAGTATTATTAATAAAACGGCTGATTTCGATTTAAGTTTATAAATTCATTTATGCCCGTGCAGTAATGAATTTGTAACGTGATGTCATTGGATATGTATTATTATGATTATAATATATTTATAATATTATATATATGATATTTTATATATTATATATTATATAATAATAATTATATATATTTGTAATATTATATATATAATATTTTATATATATATAAGGTAATACAATATTATATTAATATAATATTAATATAATAATACAATATAATACAATATTATATTGTGTAATATATTATTATTATATTATTGTTTTAATTATATTATAAAATAATATATACATTATTAATATTATATATATAAAATGTATAATATAATATAATATATACATTATAATATATATATGTTATATACATTATATGTATTTATATTATTAATATCAATACATTATAATATATATGTATGTATTATTGTAATTACAATATTTTTCATGGATTTTATAATAACGAATGTATTTTTCTCGATATGTTTTATGAACATAGAACGATTGATGATCAAAATGAATAATTTTGTAGGATCAAGTTTGGCATAAAGGGGACATTTCAGGGAGCAAATTTAGAATCAGTCAATAACAAGTATTTTTGATTTTTTAATAACAATTAAAATCATTCTTATTAAATAATTTTCATTCCTATTCAATTTTCATTATTATTCTTGTTAAATAATTTCCATTATTTTACGCGATTTTAGAAAAATGGAGAGTCTGAAGGTAATTTGATAGTAAACTTTATAAACTTATTAATACATATACTGTTTTATGAATATTACAATATTGCAAATATTAATCACTCTTCTTTGCGGTACATTTCTTATAATATACTTTTAAAGATCCAAATGAAGAATTTCATTAATCGTTATGTATTGTAACCAGTGCTGAGTAAAATATTATTTTATCATTACTCTATTTCTATACATGTACTAATTATTATTCTATTTATACATATTCATATTAATAGTCTAAAAAAATATGTTAAACATTTCACTTGACCAACAGTTACATGTACAACATGTAAAAGATATTAGAATTCTAGAATTATTTCATTTCATAATTTCAATTACTTAAGTATTTCAGAATTTTTATAAATATTAAATATTAAATATTAAAATATTAAAATATTAAAGAATTATAATATAAAAATATTAAAGAATTATAATACTAAAATATAAAAATATAAAAAGAAATAAAAATATTAAACTATTAAAATATTAAAATATCAAAATATTAAAGTATTAAAATATTAAAATATTAAAGTATCAAAGTATTAAAATATTAAAGTATCAAAGTATTAAAATATTAAAGAATTAAAATATTAAAATACTAAAGAATTAAAATATTAAAGTATTAAAGAATTAAAATATTAAAATACTAAAGAATTAAAATATAAAAATATTAAAGTATTTAAATATTAAAATATTAAAGTATTAAAATATTAAGATATTAAAAAATTATAATATAAAAATATTAAAGTATTAAAATATTAAAATATTAAAATATTAAAATATTAAAATATTAAAATATTAAAATATTAAAATATTAAAATATTAAAATATTAAAATGTTAAAATATGAAAATATTGAAATATTAAAATATAGTATTCAATTATACGCAACTTAATTTTTCTACGAAGTGTAAAAAGAAATATTCCTTTTCCTACCACAGCAAATAAATTTAATATCAATAAACAATATTTCGAATTCGAGATTTCGTGAAAGTAACGTTATTCCAAAAAATCGTAAAAAATTATTAAAAATCGTAAAAAAAAATTGTAATTATAAATCGTTTTTACCTCGTACTTGCAACGAGAAGGAAATTTAAACTGCAAATGTAATTGCTCGATAAATCAAGCGAACGCTTGAACGAGTGATCGCTTTCGACGTACGAAACCGGCTCCGTTTTGGTGATTTCGATAATTCTGTAGCGTGCAGCAAATCGCTTTCAAGAATCAATCCATTTGTTTCAGCTGAACCCGACATCAATCGCCGCGGTAAATCATCAGCCCCCTTGACGCTTTTCATCGTATGAAACGGCTGACATGTAACAACTGACATTCGTCATGTCGCGCAAATATACGCGTAGTAGGCGGATACATCGATATTTTATACTGTTTCGTATCAATGCTCGCAACACGTTTTCACGTCGAGTGTATTTTCTTCCGTCTTTGCGACGCACGCGTTGCTGACGACACGGAGCCTTTATGTTCGTTCCGAGTGGAATGATAAATTTTATCGTTGCACGGTGAAACACGATGGGGTTTTGTAAATTTAGCATTGTAACGTTATACACGTGGTGTCCCACGAAATTAAGAAAGAAAACACACAAGTACAGGTTGTTCAACGCTCAATGTAAAAATTCAAAGAGAGCTAATTAAGCTACAATTGCTGCTTGCTGTCGGTAAAATCATACTAATTATCACTTGAGACGTCGAGAATTTTTCATCCCAAATTGCAACGTTTCCTCAGTCTCAGTTTCTTAAGTATACTTAAGTATAACCCAGATGAAAGAAATGATAAATATATTACTTCTCAATAATTTCGTAATTAATTGGTATCGTACCGACGAGTCGAAAGGGAAAAGAAAGCGACGAATTATTGTATAAGGTGTGGTTGGTCACTCGTTATGGTCCGCGAACCAGTCGCCAGCGCAAAATTGCCAGCGGTTAATATTTATTTAAAGAATTGCAGTTTGCAACAACGACGCTACTACGAGCACACCGTTTTTCCCATCGTCGAAACTCTTCCTTCAGGAGTTTTAATGTAAAAAAACGATAGAGCAATTCGTCTTTGTCATCTTCTCCCTTGGATAACCGGCGTCAAGGATCTTTTTAGGGATCGCGAACGCTCTGACAGTCTTTATTCCGTCTTATTTTCTCTTCTCTTCACCCACGTTATTTCCACTGAACTGAATTCTACTATCGCGAGCATGTAAAATTAATGGATAATGGATTTTTATTTCTTCAGACGCAATTGGGATATCCATTGAAATAAAAACACAGGGTGTCCGCGAAGTCGCTTTACACAATTTATTACAAAGGCAAATGAAAAGACAGATAAGTGGAAATTATTGCCAAACGAGAAGTATATATTTAAGTTTTATTTTTTTGGCCTCATTTGATACACATACTTCGTGCAACTAATGGTGTCCGTATAGAGGTATGTAAAATGAGGCAGGAAGAAACTCAAATATATACGTCTCATTTTGTAATAATTTCCACTTATCTGCCTTTTCATTTTCCTTTGTGGTAAATTTTTGAAATTGTAAAGTGACTTCATGGACACCCTGTACATTGCATATAGATGAAAATAACGAGAACGTTCACAATAAAGAAGGGAATAATACATTGGTTAATTATATTCGTAGAAAATTTAAGCACAGTTATCACATTTAAAGTACTTTCATTAGTAAATTCATTAATAAATTTTCAAATTCTGCTAATTGTAACTAACGAAGAAAATGATTTCGTAAATTCAATTACACAATGTCACTCGCTCAAAGAACTGTTTAAAGTGAACTTCCACACGTATGATACATCGCGTGGAACGTGTAACGGTATGCTGTCCTTGTTTTAGGCTAAAATCCTACAATAAAGAGTAAGGGAATACACTTGGGATCTGGAAGGGTCTGCTCGCAGTCACAACGAAGATGAGTATACGTTAAACGTACAAGCAAACGTATTTTGTTAATTGCACAATAAAATTCCATGATTTTTTAATCAAGCAAAAATTTTATGAGTGAAACTTCCATTTTTAAAGTACAGCAGATGTATGTAATTTCATTTGTATCATTGATTTTTTTAAATTCATTAACGCGTATGTTGTGATAGTATATGAGAATATTACAATAAATGTTATATGTAATTAAGACACGTTAAATGAACTTCAGTTAATATATTAAGGTATATATATTTTTATATACTATATTATATTATATATTATATATATTATAACGTATATATTTATATGTTTATAATATTTAATATATTAACATATATATTTTTTAAATTATATTATGTTATATATTTATATATTTATAATATTTAATATATTAACATATATATTTTTTAAATTATATTATGTTATATATTTAAATAAATTATAACGTATATATTTATATATTTATAATATTTATAATATTTAATATATAAACGTATATATATTTTTATAAATTATATTATATTATATATTTATATATATCATAACGTATATATTTATAATATTTAATATATTAATGTATATATACTTTTATAGATTATATTATATTACATATTTATATATATTATAACGTATATATTTTTATATTTATAATATTTAATATATAAACATATTAAATAATTGAGAAATATTATGTACTCATAAATTATAATAGATAAATTTTATGTTTTTTATTGCAAGTATCAGGAATCGTATAGAATGAAATTTAATAATATTCGTCACTTGTTCAAAATGTTATTTCAGTAAACAACATTTATATATTAAATAGAAAAATTCAATTACTCCAAAAACATTCTATTAATTTTTCACTAATATAGTTCGGAAATACACGTAGCACAAATAGCGTATAATGAGTCTTGTTTTCATTACGTTATTCAGTTCACTTTTAATATTATTTAAACTAATATTTAATAAAGTAATATATACACAAAGATACCATATTTTACCAATATTTTATTTTTACTCATAGAGGTCGAAAAAATATTTTGTACAATACACACAAGTGCATTTCCTACGATGAACAAGTATTCAAATATTTTCGCCCGGTTCTTACCACATTATCCAATTTGAATTAGTCTTGCTCGA